TTTAGCTGTAAAAACGCTCTAAAGCTGGTAAACGAAGTAAAATGCGGCAAACTGGTGTTTTTGAGGCCAAATTCAAATTTTTTATTTTTGTAAAAAAACGCTAACGCGGAAAAACATGGCTAAACATGACAAAACGTGTCTAAATGCTAATGCAAAAACTCTAAAACGTAGAAAAGCATGCATTTTTAAAGTGACTTTGTACAGCTAATGCTACCGGTGTTTTTAAAATGAGGCCTAAATGCCATTCAGTTAGTCTTTACATCTGCTTTAACCAGGGTGTAACTTTAAAGTATTAAACCCTCAGCATTTTTTTTAGTTTAACATATTGAGCACAATAAAATAAACAGTGCAGTTGGTTTTGGCTGTCTATGTGCTGCTTCCCTGAACTTCTGGTCTTTAAAGGAAATAGTTACACAGTGGACAGTGCAGCCTCCAGTTAGGCAGGGGTTAACTTCTTGTCCCCTAGGGAGGATTTCTGCTTTTAATACTTCAAGGAAGTAAGGTGACTTCAGATCCTTTCAGGCAGGATCCTATATAAGCTAAGGGTGGAGTCTAGAAGTTGGCTAATGGACGAAAGGACAAAGCCTAGTCTGTGAGATGGGTTATAGACTTTCAATCTTTCCTGCTAACCCCAGGATGGTCATCCCTGCTACTAGGATTGGAAAGGTATACTGCCACACAAAAAGGACTTGTTTCAATGGAAACAAAATACTTTTTGAACTATAACTATGGACTAAAAAAATGTTGTGATACACCAAATAACCACAAATAATAGCGCAACCCAAAACCAAAATATAAAAAAAATATATAATACAAAATTATATATAACTACCATATGTGTGCAATAAATTAATCAGTGCAAAAAAATCATACATAGGAAGTCCGCATATAATCCATTCAGAAAAGTCCATATATTGTTGAATATGATCCTCAATAAATGAAGCACATGCCACATGCTCTGTCTCCAACATCTCTGATTGTTAAGAAATGCTGTGTATTTTCAAACTCATTGTGAGTGCAGTTCTAATGGGGGGTTTGTTATCTGAATAAATTTGCTGGATGATATTGCACTATGGCGAGTATTCTTTTTGTTCACATGTACTATTCGGAAATGTGAGGATTTCTCTAAGCTGGAGTTCAGTGGTGGAATGCTGGCTATTTAAAGATACGCTGGTTTATCACCAGTTTTTATGGTGAGTGTACAATTTGTGATGTCTATGGTCTATATACATTGGCGCGATGATGTTAGTGCAATGGTGTCTTTGAGTGGTCTTTAATAGACACTGTTGGCTACTGACCTATTAGAATTTTCTATAACTATGGACTACCTCAATAATATAGAGTTGTATGGAGCCCATGGCTGCTTGAAGTGACTAAAATAGATTCCTGTTATCCTGGTGATATAAACTGAGACAGCACCCCCGTTAGGCTGACTGCTAGTCTGCTGCATCTCATGCACAAAAACACAAGTTGGGATATAGAAACCCGGTGGAACAACTCTTGTGCAAACCTGGTTGGGTTGGGGCAGGTGGTGGACAAGCAGGGCTGGCACCAGCATAAGGCAGCTCAGGCAGCCGTCTTAGGGTGCTGGGCTGGGGGGGTAGTAAAATCCAAATCCCCAGCCACTTGCTGGGGATTTGGATTTTTTATAATACCTGTCTTTCGTTCCCCCCAGCAGGCAAACTAAAATTTTCATGCTGCACCTGCATAGGACAGAGGGCATAGCATAGAAGCTTTAGTTTGCCTGCTGTCAGAGAGAGCATGGAGAGCACAGTAGGTAGGCAGGGTGGTGTGCATGCCCTGCTACCAGAGTGGGCCTGCAAGGATGCAGAGGGGGTGGAGTAGTGGGTGATTCCCAGGTACGCATGGAGGGATTGGGCCCCCTGTCAGGCAGGCTCCTGTCAGGAATGGTGGCATGCGCCCGGCAGTGCGGAGTGGGTCAGGCCAAGGGGTGCCAGTGGAGGGTCTCATGGAGGAGGAGGAAGAATAGGAGGAGGTCAGGGCAGAGGAGCTCCCCTGCTTTTTGCTGCAGCTGCCGTCGAAGATCTTGGTGGATATATTTTCCTGTCTGCCCAGGACACAGCTATCCCTCCTGGCACCAGATCCTTTCCACTGACACCGCCTAGAAGATCCACTGCAGGACTGGTGAAATATGGGAGGATTTGCCATTCCTAAGCTGTGAGTGATCAGAGTGACACTGCCCCCCTTCTGTCCCACTGCCCCACTCCTGTCCCACTTACCCCAGCCTGTCCCTCTGCCCCCCTCCTGTCCCACTTACCCCCAACTGTCCCTCTGCCCCCCTCTTGTCACACTGCCTGCCTCTTGGCCCACTGCCCCCTTCCTGTGACACAGCCCCTCCCATGTAACTCTGTCCCCATTTTGCGTAGGCCTCAGGCATTCAACAGACTGTGCCTTGTCCTGCAATGATGGAGATGGGTTCTGTGCAAGTAGTGTCCTTAGAAAGAGAAGAGTCATTGCTAAGGGTGGCCAGGAGTATGGTGAATTGTGTGTCCAGGGAACACCATGCCTAGGAAACATTATAAAGGCATGTGTGCTTCGGCAGAGTTCTGCGTGGGCTCTGGACTGTGAGTGGACTGTATGCTGGGCCTGAGTCAGCCCTGTTTTAGGTAAGCCCTGTGGTGAGGGCTTACATGTTAGCTTGGAGAAAGAGGGGGGGGAGGTAGGAGGAGAAGAGGAGTGCTTTGCCATCCTAGGCTATGGGGCTGTGTGTTTCTATTGATGCACACAGTGTAGGGAGACACAACTCTAGACCTTGTATGCAAAGGTGGCTCTATAAGACTCTGTATAGCCACCCTGAGACAGGAGCCACCCTGAAACAGGAAACCTGGGGCAGTGTTCATGGTACCAGCTTAAATGGGAGATTCAAAGATAAAGACGATTCATAGTCAGTAAGTGATTGAATCAGAACTGAAAGAGTTTAAAGGATAACTGTAGAAATTGTGCACACAGATATGGACGTGGTCATCCATCTTGCTCAAGATTCCCCATCTTGTATCATTCTCTCTTCCTCCAATCCCCCTCCCTCAGGAATGTGGAGTGTGTGTGTGCTGGGTTCACAAAGGGCATCAGGCACAGCTGGATACACTTCATGGTTGTAATCCCAATTAGCTAGTGCCCGGGTGTCTGTTAGCTTCTCGATCTGAGATGATCGTAAAGCTATAAACCAGTCCTTCACTGGACATGAAACACATTCCAGAATAGCCGTAAATCATACATCCCATTTAAAAACCACTTTTCATAACTTAAAATAGGGAATACATACAATCGAACAAAGCATATATTCGGATAGCTCAGTTTAATGCGAGTCGCCTGATATCTTACACCCCTAGATTAAGTCTACCCGAGAGCAGAAACAATATCTCTTTAACCGTCACAGGTACATATGTCATATCTGATATCTAGACGTTCAGTAAATGATTCTGCATATTATCCTACCAGTGGATAGAATGCTCCATGTACCTATGGAAGATTATTGACCACGGTATAAACGTGTGAGGGATTTGGTCATAGCAGAGTTCCCCACCTAAACACCCTCCCCAAATGAGGCGATTAATTCTCTGCTTTAAGGAGACACCCTGCTGGTGGACTAGAAAATAGGCTATCAGGCCTGAAAGAGAGAAGATGAAGAGATCTCCCTTTTAACATCAGGAAAAAAGGCACCCTTTTGCTCAGGACCCTTGAATCTGCTTAAGGCAAGTACTCTGGCAAGTATTCTACCTCTCTAAACTTCTTTCTGTTATCTTTCTGTTGTGTTATTGCTCTCTGTATTTATATATATATATATATATATATATATATATATATATATATATATATATATTGGCTACATCTTTTTCTGTAAATATTTTTATTGCACCATTTTGACCCTTTTTAGTAATAAATCCTATTTTCTGAAAAGTGTTGAACTGTTTCTAAAGCTCTTTAATGCAAACTAATAATCCCTGTTTCTGAAGAGCGCTACTGTGTGTTTTTAAAAACTTCTGCATACATCTGCCTGCGGTGACAGTGTGTCAGGGCTCCCGGGTATGACCAGAGGTGTGTGACTGACGCAGGGAAACGCAGACTTCAGATATGTTATAAACAATACGATTTATTAACACTAACAATACAAACATAAACACAGTGCAATACTAAACATAATACAGTGCAAACAAACCCAACTAACCACCCACAGATAACAGTACAAACAATGCGAGCGTGGTCAGGCAGGCCGGGTCAATATCGATCGGGCAGGTAGGTACAGGGGGAGCAAGCGGAGAATGGTCGGGGTCACAAGCCTGGGTCAGCAGGTAGCGGGCAGCGTGGTACAGAGGGTCAGGCAGAGGGATGGTCAGGAACGAGCCGGGGTCAGAGCAGGAGAAGTCAGCAGAGGTATAGATCAGGCCGGGTCAGCAACAAGACAGGAACAGGAATAGGAACAGAAACAGGAAGCAGGAACAGGATACAGGGCCCAGGAAAAACATACACCAAGGCAGAGTCTGCAGGTCTGGCCATCCCTTAAATACACCAGTATAATTAGTTCCAGGTGTTTGACTGGCTGCAAGGTTGAGTCTCTGATTGCTGGGAGCACCCGCTGGCCAGCCCTGGTACTGCAGCTCATAAGGCAGGTGAGTCCCACTATTGCTGGCCAGTCCATTCCTGACAGTACCCCCCCTCAAGGAGCTGCCTCAGGATGCTCCAAACAGTCCTAGCTGGGCAAAATGTTCCACCGCCCGGGTCTGGTAACTGGCGGGATATCAAAGACTGGCACACCGGGCAGGACTCCGGGCAGCGGCACACCGGGCAGGGGCACACCGGGCAGAGGCACACCGGGCAGAGGCACATCGGGCTGGACTCCGGGCAGAGGCACATCGGGCTGGACTCCGGGCAGAGGCACATCGGGCTGGACTCCGGGCAGAGGCACATCGGGCTGGACTCCAGGCAGAGGCACATCGGGCTGGACTCTGGGCAGAGGCACATCGGGCTGGACTCCGGGCAGAGGCACATCGGGCTGGACTCCGGGCAGAGGCACATCGGATTACCAGGCGAAGCAGCAGGCAGCGGGCCACCAGGCGGAGCAGCAGGCACCGGGCCACCAGGCGGAGCAGCAGGCACCGGGCCACCAGGTGGAGCAGCAGGCAGCGGGCCACCGGGCGGAGCAGCAGGCACCGGGCCACCGGGCGGAGCAGCAGGCACCGGGCCCCCAGGCAGGGCGACAGGCATCGGGCCCCCAGGCGGGGGCGACAGGCCCCCAGGCGGGGCGACAGGCATCGGGCCCCCTGGTGGAGCGACGGGCGCCGGACCCCCAGGCGGAGCGACAGGTCTCGGGCCCTTAGGCGGAGCGGCGGGCGCCGGACCCCCAGGTGGAGCGACAGGTCTCGGGCCCTCAGGCGGAGCGGCGGGCGCAGGACCCCCAGGCGGAGCGACAGGTCTCGGGCCCTCAGGCGGAGCGGAGGCGGAGCGGGTCTCGGGCCCTCAGGCGGAGCGGCGGGCGCCGGACCCCCAGGCGGAGCGACGGGTCTCGGGCCCCCAGGCGGAGCGGCGGGCGCCGGACCCCCAGGCGGAGCGACGGGTCTCGGGCCCTCAAGCGGAGCGGCGGGTCTCAGGCCCCCAGGCGGAGCGGCGGGCGCCAGACCCCCAGGCGGAGCGGCGGGCGCCGGACCCCCAGGCGGAGCGGCGGGCGCCGGACCCCCAGGCGGAGCGACACGTCTCGGGCCCCCAGGCGGAGCGGCTGGCAGAGTCACCAGGCACGACAGTGGGCTCCGAGTCAACTGGCAAGACTGCGGGCACCGAGTCAACTGGCAAGACTGCGGGCACCGAGCCAACTGGCAGAACAGCGGGCTTCGAGTCGTCTGGCAAGACTGTGGGCACCGAGTCGTCTGGCAAGACTGCGGGCACCGAGTCGTCTGGCAAGACTGCGGGCACCGAGTCAACTGGCGGAACAGCGGGCACCGAGTCGTCTGGCAAGACTGCGGGCACCGAGTCGTCTGGCAAGACTGCGGGCACCGAGTCGTCTGGCAAGACTGCGGGCACCGAGTCGTCTGGCGGAACAGCGGGCATCGAGTCAACTGGCGGAACAGCGGGCACCAAGTCGTCTGGCAAGACTGCGGGCACCGAGTCGTCTGGCAAGACTGCGGGCACCGAGTCGTCTGGCAAGACTGCGGGCACCGAGTCAACTGGCGGAACAGCGGGCACCGAGTCGTCTGGCAAGACTGCGGGCACCGAGTCGTCTGGCAAGACTGCGGGCACCGAGTCGTCTGGCAAGACTGCGGGCACCGAGTCGTCTGGCAAGACTGCGGGCTCCGAGTCAACTGGTGGAACAGCGGGCACCGAGTCGTCTGGCAAGACTGCGGGCACCGAGTCATCTGGCAAGACTGCGGGCACCGAGTCGTCTGGCAAGACTGCGGGCACCGAGTCGTCTGGCATTGGATCGTCTGGCTCGACAGCGGGCATCGGGTCACCAGGTATGACAGCGGGCACTGGGTCACCAGGCATCAGGTCATTTGGCTCGCCAGCGGGCACCGCGTCATCTGGCAAGGCAGTGGGCACCGAGTCACCAGGTACGACAGCGGGCTCTGAGTCAATTGGCCTAATAGGATCATCAGGCTGGATCAGTTCATTATGCTGGGTAGAAGCATCCGGCTGAGTAGAGGCTTCAGGCTGAGTAGAGGCTTCAGGCTGAGTAGAGGCTTCAGGCTGAGTAGAGGCATCAGGCTGAAGAGAGGCATCAGGCTGAAGAGAGGCATCAGGCTGAAGAGAGGCATCAGGCTGAACCACGGAAGGCAGGTTCTCGGACGGCAGGCTGACCGGTTTGGATACTGGCAGGATGGTATTGGTTGGAAAGAATTTTCGCTTTTTTCTGGTTTTAACTACTGGTGCACTGCAAGTAAACGCAGGTCTGCAAATGAATGGAGCAGCTGGAGACAGAGAAGAGCTGGAGGATGGAACAGGGGAAGGAACAGTCACTACAGAGGGCTTCTTTACAGGGTTAAAGGCAGGATAGGTGCAGCGAGTGGGAACAGGGTACTGACATGCGGTAGATAGCCAAGTATACTGGGCTGTAACTGGAGGAGCTGTTGGGAATGCAGGAATAGAGCTTTGAGGAAATAGATTAGAAGCAGGACTGGGTCTTTGTAAGCTGACTGAGGCTGGGTGTAACAAATCTGTCCATGTCTGCAGTATGGGTTGAACAAAGCTCAGCTTACACAAAGCCTGTCTGACCAAAGACTGCACTGCGTTTATACAATCTCTTAGTGTCTGTGGTGAACATGTGGAATAACGCTCCAGAAAGTAACCCACATCATCCTCTAATAACCATACCAGGGAACTCTACCTGGTCTGCACTAAATGGTGGCAAAAATTCATCCCTGCATTCGGGGGTACCAGATGAAACCAACTCAGCACAGACCCACAATCAATGGCTGCACCTCAGAGAACTCTGTGCCCTGATCTACTAGAACATGAGCGAGCCGTATACATTCTAGCAGTTCATCCCGGGTATACTCCTTCAGAGTTTGATAAGCATACTCCCTGTCATCAAACACTAGCAGATATAAATACGCAACCTCATCCAGATCCATCCTTCCCATCAACAAACCAAGATGGCTTCCCTGTGCAGCCACTTCTGGTCAGGCTTGGCCTTGGTGTAATGTCAGGGCTCCCGGGTATGACCAGAGGTGTGTGACTGACACAGGGAAACGCAGACTTCAGATATGTTATAAACAATACGATTTATTAACACTAACAATACAAACATAAACGCAGCGCAATACTAAACATAATACAGTGCAAACAAACCCAACTAACCACCCACAGATAACAGTACAAACAATGCGAGCGTGGTCAGGCAGGCCGGGTCAATATCGATCGGGCAGGTAGGAACAGGGGGAGCAAGCGGAGAATGGTCGGGGTCACAAGCCTGGGTCAGCAGGTAGCGGGCAGCGTGGTACAGAGGGTCAGGCAGAGGGATGGTCAGGAACGAGCCGGGGTCAGAGCAGGAGAAGTCAGCAGAGGTATAGATCAGGCCGGGTCAGCAACAAGACAGGAACAGGAATAGGAACAGAAACAGGAAGCAGGAACAGGATACAGGGCCCAGGAAAAACATACACCAAGGCAGAGTCTGCAGGTCTGGCCATCCCTTAAATACACCAGTATAATTAGTTCCAGGTGTTTGACTGGCTGCAAGGTTGAGTCTCTGATTGCTGGGAGCACCCGCTGGCCAGCCCTGGTACTGCAGCTCATAAGGCAGGTGAGTCCCACTATTGCTGGCCAGTCCATTCCTGACACAGTGTGTATACAGACGCTTATTCAAACATCATAGTATTACTGCTAAGATTGGCGAGTTTCCTCCTTCTCCGTACAAAAAGGCAGTGGTGGCAGTGTGAAGGGTTAATTGCGTAATTAACCTGACCCAGTAACAATCGCTCTTAGGCTGCGGTATATAGATTGTGGTCCATTAGCTGGAAAATCTTTGTGCAGGGTGCAGCTGAGCGTGGTATTGTTACGCACGTGACAGCACGGTTTTAGATTGGCTAGTCCTTCGATCACGAGTTGGTGAGAAGGGCTGGGGGTCTGACACCGCGTCCGTCACAATAAATAAAGGCAAAACTTTATTTTTTGTTTTGTTTTGAGTGGAGATGGATTAGAACATGCATTAGGTTTTCATTGCTGTTTCCCTTATTATGGAGATTCACCCTCTCTATTTGACCCCTTTACCATTATCAATGAAAGTGAAAGTAAAAGAAAAATCCAAATTTTGGATTGTCCAGAGAAAAGTAATAGAGGTGAAATCTTCCAATGGGAACTCTGGTGAACTGGGAGGCCCCAAGGGATTCTCTTTATTTGCAGGGATGTCCTGTTTTGGCTATGAGAGAGAAAATTAAGGTAAATCTCCCCAATAGGACACAGGACTCAATTCACTAAGTGGCATCTACCACTTTAAGAACTGTGGTAAAATATCTCATAGCGTTTTTTTAAACTTTTTTTTTGTAATTCGCTAAAAACCACTACTAAAATACCACATGAGCTATTTTTTGAAGTGATGCAGTATTTTAGTAGTGAAAGCTAGCGGTACTTCAAAGCTGGCTGCAGCCAGCGTCCTTAGAGCTATTTTACAAATGCATATCCCTTTCCCTAAACTCTGTTAACCACTTGCCCTCCAGAGGATTTACCCCCCTTCCTGACCAGGCCATTTTATGTGTTATGGTGCTGCATTACTTTAACTGACAATTGCGCGGTCATGCAACGTTGGTACATAAATTCAATTTATGTCCTTTTTTCCCACAAATGGAGATTTCTTTCGGTGGTATTTGATTGCCTCTGCCTTTTTTATTTTTTGCGCTATAAATAAAAGCAGACCGACAATTTTGAAAACCAAAACTACATTTTGGACTTTTTGCTATAAAACATGTCCAGTAAAAAAATTTAAAAAATCTAATTTCTGCATAAACTTAGTCCAAAATGTATTCTGCTACATGTCTTTGCTAAAAAAAAATCCCAATATGTGTAAATTAATTGGTTTACGTGAAAGTTATAGTGTCTACATAGCGTCTATTTTTTTTTTTTATACTAGTAATGGTGGCTATCAGCGACTTATAGCAGGACTGCGGCGGGCATTCTGACACTGGGGGGAACTGACTAACTGTCACTGATATCCCCAGTGACACCAATACAGTAATTAGTGCTAATAAAAAGCACTGACACTGTACTAATAACACTAGGCAGGAAGGGGTTAACATCTGGGGCGATCAAAGGGTTAACTGTGTGCTGTTTTACTGTGTTGTCTGTGTGTGTTTTACTAGGGAGGCATGCTGTTTTGTATTGCTCTGCTATGCAGAGCAATACAAAGAAATACAAAGCAGCCTGCTGGAGCTGACAGGGGAGAGATCTGTATTGTTTACATACAGACCTCTTTCCCATCAGTGATACATGGTGATTGCTGGGTGCCGGCGGGGAATCTCCGGCCAGGACTCGGTGATGCCCTACCTGGAAATACAAAACCAAGTATATATATATATATGTGTGTGTGTGTGTGTGTGATTTTGCACAGCCTGCTGCCCTGTAGCAGTATTTGCACTATACGGTGGCGGGGAAGTGGTTAAACCCCTGACACCATTTAAATAATAGTCCCTCACTTTTCTTTTGAAGTTTTCAGCCCCAGTGACATCAGGAAATCTTTGGAAAAGAGTGCTCCTTCCTTGCACTGGGAAGAGGACTTTCTCTTTTGCTGCACATCATATCCTTTTGGGGAGAGAAAACTACATTTCCCATTATGCAAAAAGTCATAGCCAGCATGTGCACTGAATCTGAGGAGGAGTGGAGGGCAGAGTTGGTGCCAAGAGCTGTACTTCAGGCACACCCACATAACCAGCAGCAGTCACAATGTGGGAGACTTAGAGTGGGAGTCTAAGACTGCTGAGTCCACCCACTACAGTGAGCAGGGACGCAGCTATGTCACCGATCGCTGTACAGAACTACAGTGGGGCAGTAACAGGGGTCGAGGCCTAAATTCAATGAATGTACACTGGATTTCTTCAAGATGACACAGTGGGGAAAGGAAAAAGCAGCATGAATCTAATAAGGTATAAAAGCTGATAGACTTCTGCTGTAATAACCAGTAAACAACATGGTTGTTAAGGAGCAGGCGGCCGCTGGCGACCTTAACAACCAGTAAACATCACAGTTGTTAAGGAGGCAGCAGCCATGAATCATCTGCTGGCAGTGGGGTTGCCCGCTGACAGCAGAATACAAACAAAAAAAATTGTTGGCATTTAAAAATTAAATATAAAACAGCATGGGGCCCGTCCCCCCCATCCAATCCATACCAGGCCTATTGGGTCTGGTATGGATTTTGAGAGGATCACCATGTCAACTTTTTTTTCAATGGTGTGGGGTTCCCCCAAATCCATACTAGACTCTTATCTGAGTATGCAACCTTGCAGGCCAGGAAAGGGGGGCGTTCTCTCCAGTCCTGAACCATACCAGGCCACACACCCTCAACATGGGGGGTGCTTTTGGGGGAAGAGGGGACTTTGCCCTCTTAAAGCACCTTGACCCCTCAATAATGGGGACAAGGGCCTCTTCCCCACAACTCTGGGCGGTGGTTGTGGGGGCCTGTGGGCGGGGGGCTTTTTGGAATCTTGAAGCCACCTTTAACAAGGGCCCACACATCCTGGCTCCCCTCTATGTGTACAGGGGATCTGTAGTACCCCTGCTCATTCATCAAAAAAGTGAAAATCAAAAAATACACAGCCAGTCCTTTATTTAAACCTTCCCCCTTCCCCCCCCCAAAAAAAAAAGTCCCTCAAAGTACAATCAATGTCAATGAACGCTGGCCACCGATCTAAAAATTAAAAAAAAAAAAAAAAACCCGGCCTGAGCCATGTCATTGGCTCCCTTTGAATGACATCTCCACTGCCTCCCCCTGCTAAATAAACTAAGGGATGGGGCCACCCGATGTCACAGCGTGACCCCGCCCCCTTATGGCGTCATCAGCCCAGCATGCCCCATCAGATGGCATGGCTTGTGAATTGGAGTAGGCTGAGGCCATCACATATATACAGGGCACAGACAGGACGGGGGGGAGCGGCGGTATTCTGCTTGCAAGATACACACTACTGGATGGTGATCTTACACGCCAGCACCCCATTCCTGGGACCAGCAGGACAATATTCATTCCTTTTGTTTGCTTTGAGCGCCACTACAAGTGATAAATGGAGGTAGAGAGTGAAATCAGAAGACTGACCTGATTAAGTGATGGCCACCC